GTGCTATAAAAGGAACAAAGTCTTCAACAACACATATTCAACAACCCCATCATATATTTTTAATCCTTTAAATTTTTTTTGAGTGAATTATCATTGCCCAAAAATTTGAAAAATGGACATATCAAAAGATCAAAACAAGAATTTAATGTCCAATGAAGAGGAAGATTTGTTAAGTGTTATGCAATTGCCAATTGGTTTAGCTCTTAATATGGTCTTGAAAGTCACAATGGAACTTGGTATATTTGATCTTTTGTCAAAAGTTGGTCCAAATGCACAATTATCTTCTTCCCAAATTGTTTCACAAATTCCAACAAAAAACCCTCAAGCCACACTTATGATTGAAAAGATTTTGAGTTTTCTTGCTAGCCAATCCTTATTGAGTTTCACACTTAATAAGGATGAAAATGGAGTTAAACAAAGTTTATTATATAGTTTAACACCTCTTAGTAGAAATCTTGTCACTAATGAAGATGGGGTATCAATTGCTCCCACATTTCTCTTGATGAATGACCAAGCTATGGTTACTCCTTGGTATACATAGAATTCTCTTCAAATATTTTAATGAATTTAATCTATATATACTGATAATAAAATTCTTTTATCTTACTCTATTAGTGCACGTTAACCTGTTGTAGCAGATAATCTGTCTTACTATTTTTCAGTGGATTTAAGTTACACTCACTAACGGTTTAAAGATTTTTTACTCTAGCTGTTTGATTTTACAAGCGATAGTAGGTCAGTATTTTTACCAAATTATTGATTAATATTTGTTGTAGAACTTTATCTTTAATTACCATATTGGTGTACTTTAACTTATTGTAGCGGGTAATTTGTCTTATGTTTCAGCGAATTTAAGTTACATACATTGTCAGTTTAAAGATTTTTTACACTATATCTGTCTGATTGTAATAGTAGGTTAGTTAGCATATTTACCAAATTATTGATTGATGTTTGCCATAGAGATTTACTTTAAACTACCTAATGGTGGCATGATATGTAAATATGTTTTGCACCATCAATTTAAGCTTTCTCAATATCTATACTAATCTTACTTTTAGTGGATGACATGTAATTATTTTTTAGTTGACTAGTTGACGAGATAGTGTAAAGTTCTTCCATACTGTCGCCATGCACCATTAATGCACAGAACTTAAACTCTTTTTTGATGTACATACTAATCTCATTTTTTTGAATGACGGTTAATTATCGTTCAGTTGACTAGTTGATCTGATAGTGTAAAGTTCTCGCATGCTGTTTGACGGTATCTAGAAGTTAACCTATATTTTCAATAATGTTAATAGAAAATCTTTTTTTTTTTTTTTTGCTAATGAAAATCTTTCACTTTGTAAGGTTTCACTTGAAGGATGCAATTCTTGAAGGAGAAATACCATTCAATAAAGCCCATGGAATGGGTGTATTTGAATATCATGGAAAGGACAAAAGATATGCAGGGGTAACTAATAGATCTACACAAAGCATCAACAGAACAATCATAAATAAAATTCTTGAGTCCTACAATGGCTTTCAAGAAGTAAAAATATTGGTAGATGTTGGAGGTGCACTTGGTTTAACAATGGCTTCTATAGTTTCCAAATATCCTCATATTAAGGGTGTTAATTTTGATCTCCCCCATGTCATCAAGATTGCTCCTACTTATCCTGGTAAGATTTAAGTTATATAAGCTGGCAGTCAGATGCGGATTCAGGATTTAAATTGTACGTGTTCAAGTTTTAAGGTTTTTAGCATTGAACCCATTATATTTTTACAGTCATAGGTTCATATCTACTATTTTTGCAATTTTAATGAATTTTTATATATAAATTTTTACTTTGCGTCAAAAATTATGGGTTCAGTTCAACCCGCGGAGATAACACTACATCCGCCTTTGTTGGTAGTATCAATATATATACAACAACAACCCAGTATAATCACACCAGTGGGGTCTAGGGAGGGTAGTGTGTACGCAGACCTTACCCCAACCCTGGGGTAGAGAGGCTGTTACATTTCTGATAGACCCTCGGCATCCCTCCCTCCAAGAACTCCCCACATTGCTATTGGGGTGACTCGAACTCACAACCTCTTGATTGGAAGTGGACATGGATATATAAGTGATCTGATTATTATATAAATATTTTTCATGTTGTGCATAAAACTCATCAAGAATACTCCTATTTATTCAGGTAGGATTTAAGTTACATATGCTGATAATATCAAAAAAAATTGTATTATTAGTATAATTTTATCTGTAATAATATGTCCTTATTAATGTTTATCATACAAAATTTACTTGTAATCACCTTACATTAATTTTGATTATTTTGCAAATATTTTTTATGTTATGCATAAAACATAAACTTCTTTTAATCATAGAGTATATATGAGCACTTTTTCTTTTTCACTAATCACCTTCATTTCAGTAATTTGATTATAAAGAGCTCAACTTCCTTCTTGTTAGGTGTTGAGCATGTTTCAGGAGATATGTTTCAAACTGTTCCACAAGGAGATGCAATGTTCATGAAAGTTAGTATTCTCTCTGTTTTTGAAATATTCAAAATGTATGAATTTATTTTGGCCTTTTAATTAGTGGTAAAATTTGAGATTATCAGAGATGAGAATTTAAAAAAAAAAAAACCTTAACCTTGAATTTTCTTTAAAACTTATGTAAGACATGATGAGTAGAGTTACATGATACTTTTAATGGCAGAAAGTAGCCGATAGCAGGTAAATGGTTGAGGTGCATACAAGATGACTCAGACATATATCATTGTTATAAAAAAATTCAAATAAATATATATATAGCTTTTATTAAATAAATTTAACTCCGCTCTAATATTTAAGAGTTAACTTTAGATCAATAATTTCATAGAACTGCCTCAGAGCGAGACCAACGCTTACAGGGGCGGATGTAGCCTACCGGCTACAAACTTATCTGAATTCATAACTTTTGACATGAAATATAGAAATATATATATGTAAAAACCTACTAAAATCTCAACAAATCTTATAACTGAACCTATAGTTTTAACAGTACAATTATTTCAATGTTGAAAATCTTAAAAGTTAAACCTATTAAATTTACACTGTGGGCCCTCTTCTAAATGTTTAATCTTGTAAATCACTATATTGATACTTTAAAAAATATGCAGCATGTACTCCATGATTGGGATGATGATGATTGCATAAAGATATTGAAGAATTGTTGGAAATCCTTACCTAACTCTGGTAAATTGGTGCTAGTTGAACACATAAAGCCAGAATATCCAAAGACTGATATGATTTCCAAGAATGCATTATTCCTTGATATATTTTTGATGATAGTTACTTCTGGAGGGAAAGAAAGAACAAAAGAAGAATTTGAAACCCTAGCAAAAAAGGCTGGATTTGCTGGTTTCAAAGTCATAAATTCTGCATATGATATTTGGATTATGGAATTTTACAAGTAGTAACTTTTTTTTACCTCTTCGTAACGGGCGCTTTACCTCTTTAATGGGTTTACCCGAATATGAATCCGAATTAATCGGGTCCAGTGAATTTCGGATACCGAAAACCTATGGCAAAATGGGAAAAAATAAAACTTGTTATCATGGTTTATGTGAGCATATGTATTTTTTCTTTTCCTTTTTTTTTTGTGGTGAGTTTTACTATGTGGAATGTGTTTTTAGTGAATAATAAGGCCTTTTTGGGTATGTATAACCATATGATATTCGAAATCTACTACCCTTACTAATGCAGTCGCTACTGGCATAACTAATTAAGACTTTCGTCGCATATGGCCCTTTAAAGGAGGAAGCGCTCCTCACCAGAAGCAGTGATATTGTCACAGTACTCATCCTACCAAAGCAAAATATACATTACTAGTATCTTATATACTCCATCCGCTCCACTTTAAGTGATTTTTGGCCTTTTTTTGTGGTCCATAATACTTGATTATTCAGATATCAAGAAGGAATTCACTTCTTCTTTCCAAAGTTGCCTTTGAGTAAAGAGCCTAGGAGTAGTTTGTTATATTTCCAACGAGCAAATTAAGGTTAATATGGTCAATTCATTGTTAATTAATGTTAAAGGGTGAATTCCTTAATATGTGTGAAAAGAGGCAAAAAATCACTTAAAGTGGACTGAAAAGAGTAACATAAATTCATTAAAAAGTGTGCCCGCTATTTTTTTAGCGAAAAAAATAGAGCCGGCGCTAGTTGTAAATAGAAAGATTTTAATATTTCTATTTAATTTTTTCAAACGTACCCAAAAAAAAAAAAGGACGATGTCTAGCTCAGCTTAGTATACTAAATTTCTGAGCATGCAGGGTTTGGAGAAGGTCTGAACCGCGTTAATGTTTGTATATGGTTATCAATATGTCCATGTATACCACTATGTATAATACTCTACATTTTTGCAAAAGGTTGTTATATGCAAATTAGATGGTTGCTTTTCTTTCTGCAAATGCAGTATAAAATTATTAGTTGGAGCTCCATATGGTTAACAATATGTCTGTATATGGTTAACAATATGTCTATTTTCCTTTAACATACACAATATTTGAATTATCTAATCTTACTCTAGCTCCATACTATTTAAGAATTCAACACTCACTACCCTTGATCATCTTTCCTCCATCAGCATCCAGGGATCACAGACCGACCATAGAACCTTGCTCAGTAAGTGAAACGCATTAATTAGCTGTACGCTGTCAGTATAGGCAGTTAGGGTCGGAGGATCCGAGGCCAATTCATAATCTAGTATTAATGGCTTCAGAATGAATGTAATCTTATATTGTATACATTTAATTTTTTCCCCGCATATCTATACATAATATGAGAAAAATCAACTGGTTCAATTTGATTCACAGAACCTGCTCTAGATCGTCGTCTCCTCAGGATATCTTTGGACGACTCAACAACAACAACATACCCAGTGCGACCCTACAAGTGGGGTTGATATCTTTCTGGACGACTGAAATCGAGATAAAAACCTAATTAGATATCAAATTTAAGAATCACAAGAAGCTAGTGATCTTGCATAGTGTTTCTTGAATTTGAACCCCATTCTATAGCTTCAGCAACTGATCTTTGTCTTTCTACTACAGATATTTCTTCTTCTTCTTTATGATTTTCATCAAATGGAACTTGTGATTTCTGAGTAGTGTTGTTATTTATTGGCGATGAACCAATTAATCCAATATTATTGTAGGGTTCTTGACCAAGGAAACTAAGAGCAGTGACAACATCACTAATCAATGGACGAACTGCTGCATCATCTTGTAAACACATAGCAGCAACAGCAACTGCTTGATTGAAATTTTTCTTTGGGAAGTCATCTTCAAGAAGTGGATCAGCTAGTTCTATGTATCTACTTGTGTCTTTTAATATGGGTTCAGCCTAAAACAACAAAAGATTTCAGTCTCCATTATATGCATTACAACAATATGCTTGCTACTACTACTTTTTCTTCGTCTTTTCTTGAGTCGAGGGTCTACCGGAAACAGTCTCTTTACCTTTTAGGTAGGGGTAAGGTCTGTACACACAATGCTCTCCCCATACCCCACCGTGGGACTATACGAGGTTTGTTGGTGTTGCAACATACCCAGTGTATTCCCACAAGTAGGGTCTGAGGAGGGTAATATGTAAGCAGACCTTATCCCTACCTATTGTGATGGTAGAAAGGTTGCTTCCGGTAGACACTCGGCTCAATAAAAGCAAAATCACAGTAGCTATAATATCATGGAAAATACCTAGTTTTTTAATAAAACTTAAACTCAAAGGGTAATTACAACAAAATATCTATGATAAACATTGAGTAATAACCTTGTAAAAAGATAACTAATTGACAATCATATATATACACTGATAATATAAAAAATTAATTCACACGGACAATGTTTATAAGTTAAGTCCATATGGATTTCAATTTATATACACTGACAATGCAAAAAAAAGAAAAGGAATTGCTACACAAATTGCCATTCAGATTCACTGTTTACTTTTTCTAGCCAGTTTACATTGATTATGTATTGATCATACATAGTTATACATATAATATACATGAATCATACATATATTACACATCCGCTAACTATTTTTAGCTTATGAGATTAGGTGAGCGGTTATTTGGTTAATTCTTCATAAAAATTACTATGTTAATTCACCTAGAGATAAGTACATGCAATCATCTATAATAAGTAAAATCCATATGTTTAAAGCAGAAAATTAAAGAGAAGTAAAATATTTCACTTACCCAAGTAATTAAATTCTGCTCATGGCCATCCTTTGTAATATCAACTGCTCTTTTTCCAGTAATTAACTCCAATAAAACAACACCAAAACTATAAACATCAGATTTTACAGTTAATTGGCCTGTCCTTTGGTATTCAGGAGCACAATAACCATAAGTTCCCATAACTCTAGAAGAAACATGTGTATTATCTCCCACAGGTCCAAGTTTTGCTAATCCAAAATCTGAGAGTTTTGCATTGTACTCTTTATCTAGCAAAATGTTTGAGGATTTCAAGTCTCTGTAAATGACTGGTGGATTGGCTTTATCATGTAAATATTCTAAACCTTTTGCTGCATCTAATGCTATTTTCATCCTTGTAAACCAATCTAGAGGAGATTGACCTGGTGAAAGATCTGAAAAAATGTAGATAAGTGATTGTCTTTTTTAACACATTTGATCCGTCAACCAAAAATAATTGCGGTTGCTAGCCAAATATGCAAGAAAATATACACTAATTGTACATAAATATGTATATTATACATTAAAAGAGCAGCCCGTGCACTAAGTTCCTGCTATGCGCGGGATCCGAGGAAGGGCCGGACCACAAGGGTCTATCGTACGCAGCCTTACCCTGCATTTTTGCAAGGAGCTGTTTCCACGGCTTGAACCCGATGACAACAACTTTACCAGCTACGCCAAGGCTCCCTTCATGTATATTATACATTCATATGCAAAATTATACATTTGCCAACTAGGAAGGGGAGACTTGGAGCAATGATAAAGTTGTAACCGGGTGAACTATTGGTCACTGGTTCGAGCCTTGGAAGCACCCACTAATGCTTTATATATTAGAGTAGGTTGTCAACATCACACCCCTTGGGTGCAGCCGTTTCCCTAACCCTGTGTGAACACGGGATACCTTGTGCATCAAGTTACCCTTTATATATTTATGAGCTATTATCTTGGAGGCAGCTATACTATGTAAAACCCTAAATAATCAATAAGTGAGAATTTTCCATGCAATAATAAAGAGTTAATGTTACACATTGCATATTAGTCAAATGGAATATTTCCAGTTCACTACTTTTAACTGTCTTATATCATTAAGGAGGATAATGAATAAGTTTTGACTTTGTTACACGGTACAAAGTGTGTTTGGTACGACAAAAGTTAGTTTTTATTAAATATTTTATGATAAATTATTTTCTCGAAACTTTTTTTTTAACCAGGTGTTGGTTGGAGTTGTGGTACAAAGTTAAGAGTTGACATAGTTATGAAAGGAAAATGACTTACGCCCATAAGTGAGAGAAATCAGTTACCACTTTTGGTGAAAATTAGTTGCTTTTGAATATATTTGTTGGTAAACAAACATCAGAAAATGATTTATTTTCGAAAAAAAATTGTCCATCAAACACATCCAAGAAAAACTTGTTTCCTCCATCCTCTTTATAACCACACAAATACTCTGAACCCTTTTTTGACTTGTTTAGGACCATTAATTCAAAAAGACTTCATTTTTTCTTAAACTCCGTGCCCGATCAAATAGGTTCACATAAATTGAAACGGAGGGAGTATATAATTAAAAATATTTTTCGAAAACCAACAAGGGTTATGGTGGAGTGGTAAATAACCCTCCATCCTTAATCAGAGGGCTACAACTCCTTTATTAGGGAGTGTTTTACCCTAACCCCCTCTAATATGAAACATTTCAGTGCAAATCCGAATTTTGTCAGGCTCCAATGCAGATATCAAATATACGATAACAAAAAGGTAAAATAAGTAACTAGTAGATGATCCTCCAATGATCCCAAAGGCATGTTATTACACTGTATTTGTAAAATAAATTCTGGAAATATAAATGAATATAAACAGTAATGAATATAAACAGAAATGACATAAACCAATTCGAGCCCACTGAATTCACAGTGTTTCCTTAAGGAATTTAATCCCCTCCTAGTACCCAAGGTTATGGATTATTTCCTCCCAGGATAGAACGAATTACACACTGGTGTAGTGGTACTTCAAACCCCAGTGTTTCAGCGAACACAAAGTTCGGTAGCAAATCACACTTACTTTTTGCTTTGTTTTGATGCTAAAAGTATGCAGAAGAAGGAGAGGAAACTCAGAAAATTGTAGTTTAAAATTCTGAGCAGAATAGTGTTGTATTTATAGCCAAAGTTGGGTCTCTTCAGAATGGCTGTTTATGCAAAACGCCCACAACATAAATGCCATTACATAAATGGCCATTTACTCAATAATAAAGAGGGAAAATAAAGAGGGAAAATTGAAGAGGGTAGTTACTTTTCTGTTACCAAAACAGAAAAACGGATTGGATTTAATATTAATATTTTGTTATTAAAACAAATATTTAATAACATTTCTGTTAATATTTTACTATTAACAAATAAATTTGGTCCAAAAAGTTAATCAATCAATCGATCATTTGACCAAATCCAAATCCAAATCCGAAGCCGAAGCTGAAGCCGAGCCGAGCGAGCGACGACGACGACGGCGCGAGGCTTACCTTCTTCTCAACTCTTTAAGAGCTAGAAGAAGAGCAATTGCTTATATACCCATAAAAAACCTCTTCCTCTTCCAATATGGGACAATGCCCATTTGCCAAGGGAGGGGGAACTTAAAATTTCACTCAAAAATTTCATTTCCCTCCATTTCCCATTCACCCTCTTTTAAGTATTTAATATATTAATTAAATACCTTAAAAACCCAACAAGGCATGTATTCATACACCAAAAGTCTTTGATCTCCATCAGCACAATATCCAATTAAATTTACAAGATTTGAATGGTGCAATAGACTCAACATCAACACCTCCACAAGGAATTCTTTGTTTCCTTGCAATCCATTGCGATCAAGTTGTTTCACTGCTACAACCTGAAGAGACAAATGACACAAATAGTTAGTATTATTTCAGGATCAACTTATTTATGTATTTATTTTTAACATTGAAGAAATCTCGGGTTCTTTGAAATTCCGAAAAATATGAGTCTGTCTCTCTATCCTGCTCCGAAGGGAGAAACTCAAAAATAGTCAGATTTACTAGTGGTCATTAAGAAATAATCACAATTTCAAAAGTCATCGAAATAGCCACTTTTCATGTAAAGATAAATATGAACGAAAACACTGTTCAAAATCCGAAAAATACTCCAGCATAATATACTGGAATTCCAGTATAATATACTGAAACTCCAGTATATTATACTAGAGTTTGGAGTTCCAGTGTACTTTGCTGGAACTCCAGTATATTATACTGGAGCCAACAAAGTATACCGGTCCAGCATAATATGTTGGAAGTTCATACACAGGTGCACCGAACTCCAATATATTATGCTGGACCGGTCTTTGTTGCAGCAAAATAGTGGCTATTTTTCAATGACTTGGCAAACGCTGGCTATTTTTGAATGACCAGTCCGAAAACTGGCTAGCCTGTGCTATTTTAACGAAATTTTTGCACCATATGCCCTTTTTTCAAGCAACTCTTTAAGTTTTGTCTTTGTTAGTCAGTCGACTAAATTTTACCTTTCAATGTAGTTAGGTTATTTTTGTACTATTTTGCAGACAAATATGGGGGAGAAATTCAAAAATAGCTAGATTTACCACTGGTCGTTGAAAAATAGTCAAGTTTCAAAAGTCATCGAGAATTAGCCACTTTAAATCTGAGCGAAAACACTGTTCCAAATCCGGAAAAATACGCCCGCAAATTTTACGGGAGTTCCAGCATAAGTATGCTTGAACTCCCGTAAATTTTCTGGGAGTTCCAGGATAACTATGCTGGAACTCCCGCAAATTTTACGGGAGTACAAGCATAATTATGCTGGAACTCCCGCAAATTTTACGGGAGTTCCAGCAAGTATAATTGTCCAGTATAATATACTGAAGTTTGGAGCACTGGTGCTCCAGTCTCCCGCAAATTTTACAGGAGTTAGCAAAGTATACCGGTCCAGCATAATATGCTGGAGTTCGTACACAAATGCACCAGAACTCCCGTATATTATACTGGACGGTCCCTGTTGCAGCAAAATAGTGGCTATTTTTCATTAACTTGATAAACGCTGGCTATTTTTCATTGACCAGTGTGAAAACTGGCTATACCATGATATTTTAACCAAATATGGCCTACTAGATTAACGGGGACAAAATTTTAAAAATAGCCTAAAAAGGCCATTTGTGCAAATTCTGAAAAATAGGGGTCTGTCTCTCTATCCTCCTCCGGAATTTTTGCACCATATGCCCTTTTTTCAGGCAACATTTTAAATTTTATCTCCGTTTAGTCAGTCGGCTAAATTTCACCTTTCAGTGTTGTTGGATTACTTTTTTATTTTGCAGACATGTATAGCCTACTGTATTAACGGGGACAAAATTTAAAAAATAGTCTAAAACGGCCATTTGTGCAAATGCCCCCCCCCCCCCCAGGGCTCGGGCGATGTGCACAGATAGCCACTAACAGCTTATGTCTTTATTTTAAAGCCAGCGTTTTAAATGTCTTTAGTCTTTAGCCACTGGTTTAATAAACTTTAACTACTCGGACAAAAATACCCTTCTGCTCATGTCCTTAACTTCAGGACTTCAGGACTACATGTCCTTAACTTTTGAACTTGAAACTCTAAGTTCAGGACTTCAGGACTACATGTCCTTAACTTTTGAACTTGGAACTCTAAGTTCAGGACTTCAAGGTTACATGTCTTTAAGTTTTGAACTTGGAACTCAAACTTCAAGACCAAGCGTCCTTAACTTTTGAACTTGTAAGTCAAAGTTAAGGACCTATTGTCCTTAACTTTTGAACTTGTAACCGTAAGTTAAGTACTGCTTGTCCTTAACTTTTGAACGTGTAACTATAAGTTAAGGACTGTCTGTCCTTAACTTTTGAACTTTAAACTCAAAGTTAAGGACTGCATGTCCTTAAGTTTTGAACTTGAAACAATAAGTTAAGGACTGTCTGTCCTTAACTTTTGAACTTTAAACTCAAAGTTAAGGACTGCCTGTCCTTAAGTTTTGAACTTGAAACTCAAAGTTAAGGACTGCATGTCCTTAAGTTTTGAAACTGAAACATCAAAGTTAAGGACAGAAAGTCCTTAAGTTTTGAACTTGAAACTATAAGTTAAGGACTGCCTGTCCTTAACTTTTGAAACTGAAACTCAAAGTTAAGGACAGAAAGTCCTTAAGTTTTGAACTTGAAACAATAACTTAAATACTGACTATCCTTAAGTTTTGAACTTGAAACTACAAGTTAAGGATTGTTTGTCCTTATCTTTTGAACCTGCATGTCAAATTTAAGGAATGCATGTCCTTAACTTTTAAACCTGCATGTCAAACTTAAAGACTCATGTCCTTAACTTTTAATCTTTGAACCCAAAAGAAACAAAAACAAGGTAAGAAGAAAGAAATTACTGTACGTAATTGAGACATCTGCTCAAAAATTCAGAACTTGAAAATTTTGATGATGCAAAAGGAACTACGGTACGTATTGGTAAAAGGAATAGTGAAGCAAAATCAGAAGGATCTCATGATGGACCTGGTTATGTCCTAGTAATTGGGGTCACTAATAGACCTGATGCTATTGACCAAGCATGGAGGAGGCCGACCGTGAAATCGCCTTGGGTATTCTAGATGAAAATGCAACGCGAAAGAGAGGAAGAAAGGGTAAAATTGTCTTTTTTTTATTAGTAGTGGCTATTTTTGCTGAGCATTATAATTAGTGGATAAAAATTAAAGACACCCTTAATTAGTGGCTACTACACGCCATTTTTACCCGGGGCTCCTTCCAACTTTATTAATATGAAAGGAGTCGCACACTTGGAGAAAATTAAAAATAGCTAGATTTACAACTGGTCGTTCAAAAATAGCTCAGTTTCAAAAGTAATCGAAATTTAGCCACTTTTCATGTAAAGATAAATCCGAGCGAAAACACTGTTCAAAACCCGAAAAACACGCTAGTATATTATGCTGGAGTTCCAGCATAAGTATACTTGAACTCCAGCATATTATACTAGAGTTCCAGGATAAGTATGCTGGAACTCCAACATAATATGATGGAATTCCGGCATAAGTACAGTATAACTCCAGCATAATATACTGGAGTTCCAGCAAGTATACCGGTCCAACATAATATACTGGAGCCAGCAAAGTATACCGGTCCAGCATAATATGCTGGAGTTCATATACAGGTGCACCGAACTCCAGTATATTATGCTGGACCGGTCTCCGTTGTAGCAAAATAGTGGCTATTTTTTATTGACTTGGTAAACGCTGGCTATTTTTGAATGACCAGTCCGAAAACTGGCTATACCGTGCTATTTTGACGTCGCACACATAACGTGCAGTTAACCCATATATCATGTGTTGCGTCTTACCACTATACCTTATGTATATCATTGTATACTCTTTGTATACCACATAAGGTTCAAACATTGAAGTACCTGACCAGTTTTGTCAAGGTGGCCCTTGTAAACACGCCCAAATCCACCTTCACCTATAAGACATTGTTGGCGGAAATTCTTTGTGGCTGTTGCTAATTCTCTGAATGTGAAAGTTTGAGCTGCAATATTGTTGTTGCCTTCATCTTTATAAGATGTCTTTTGGTGTGTGGCTTCTGCAAACAAGATGGAAAATTTGATTTAAAAGAATTAATCTAAATAGTTGTCAGTCAATCGATTAAATTTAAATAGCCGACAAATATACAATATATGTATAAATTTTTTTTTTTATAATATGTGTAGAACCTTATGTAATCATTGTATACTCTATATATTACTTTAAAAAGTGAACAGTGAATCTGACCGGCTATTTGTATAAATTTCCGATTTAGGAGAACTATGAAAATAAAGCATCAACCCAAAGATTTGTCTTTGCCATAGACTAATGTCACTATATAAATATGTTGATTCTAATTCGAGGTTCAAAATCTTGTATTGAAGGTTTCTCTTACATAAAGAAGGCCAAAAGTTTACAAAAATAACCTTTCCCTTAACAAAATGACACAAATTAATCCAACCTCCCTCCACCCCAGGCACCTTAAAGCTCAATGGACAAACATGTGAAAACTTGGAAGTTACAAATATACATGTCCAGATGAGATTTTGGTGGTCAGAGTTATTCGATATTTGTATTGATAGAAGGTAATATATACTTGGCCGGATAATTGAGGTACGTGTAAATTAAGTCAAACACCATAAATTGGCTCAAACACCATCGTTATACGAAAAATGCGCAGTTGAGATTGCATAAAATTGCATCGCGATGTCTAAGAACGCAATCTAACCAATGTTCTTTTCTGGTCATTGTGAAACTGCCTCATAATGTGCATGTGAAATTAACTCTAAGAAATAAACTTAAACTCTAAGATAAGGAGTGTAATCTTTTTTAAGAAAATCAAATTCCATCATCATCCTTAAGACAAGAAGAAATTAGAAAAAAGGATAGCAAACGCTTTGAGAACGTCAGGGGAGAGGAAGATATATAAAAAGGTAACCTACGACACCAGAAATCACGTTTTCTCCTGCCTTAGCTTTGCGGATAGAAAGAGGCCGAATGCATAGCACATATGTTCAAATCGGAGTTTCCTCAAGTTATATGTTTTAAAAAGATTTACGCCCCCGACAAAAAAATATATATATATTCTAGAAAAGTAAATAATGCTATTTTATGAATAATGTTAGAAGCCAACATTCTTACCAAATCGAGACTGTTGATTTTGATGTGTTTATGTTTGTGGCTTTGGTTTCGAGGTTTGCCGTTGAAATAGGGTCTCTCCTTGAGGATGAATTGCAGGTGAAGGTTCTTTTCTTTTGTTATTATGTGAGTTTCGAGACGACTTCTTTTCATGTGATGAAAAACATGAAAAACAACTCATCTCTTTTATTCTAAAAGATCAAATCACCAAAAGATTGAGAATCTCACACCCTTTAAAAATGTCAAAAAATTTGAATGAAAAGAGTTGGTGTATATTTGACAAAGAACCTAACGGGATTTCACAAGCAGTAACTAAAATCAAAGTTTTGCAAATGGTGTCAACCGACAATAGAATGTATCTAGATAACTGACGTCACGTACAATATCCAAAATATGTGGGCTTTTGATGTATATGGAAAGAGCCAAAGAACCTAAAAATGTTGAACGGTGTATATAATTAAAGATAAGGTCATCTAGAGAAAACAAATTAAAGAGCAACTTAATTAGGAAGCCATAATTAAAGATGATTATCTAAAGGAATTAAAGTAGAGGTACGTTTTCGTTTGATTTCCCGCAGAATAAGGGGAGAAAAGGAAATATACAAGGAATTTGAGGGATAGAGAAAGAGAGACAACGTGAGAATGATAATAGACTAGGTCTAGGTGATTTGGCGATTGTTTATGCTCCCGCTTGATTATGTTTCAATGTCATAATATGGTTAATTGATGAAAAATGGGCTCTAATTGTGAATTTTACACATTGCAGGATGGTGAACCTATATGAAGCCTTAAAGTTGTGATTGGAGCTACATTGGAGCAAGAAAGACCCCTCGGAGCTGAGTGCGCGCAAAGACTAGACAAAGAATTGAAGAAAAAATGACCTGAACTAGCGCGAGCAGTAGCACGATCGCGCTAGTTCAGAAGCGGGAAGCAGAATGTCAGGAGACTAGCGCGAGCTTTAGCGCGAGCTCTAGCGCGAGCATTAGCGCGTTCGGGCTAGTCCGAGTTCCGGAAAAGATTTGTTAGGGGCAAAATTGGAAATCTGGAGGAAATTTCACTTAACCTATATAAAGTCAAGCTCGCCCAAGGATTAGATATCAAGGTTTTCATAGTTTAGAGCAAGAAACAGAGAGGCAAGAGGCAAGGAGGAAAATCCAACATCAAGTTCTTCTTTTCTTCTTCTTGTTTTTACGTTTTGAATGAAATTAAACATTATTGAGATGAACAGTGCTATGAGTGGCTAAAACCTATTGTTCTAGGGTCATGGGTGAAACATGATTGTTGTTGTTCAGCGTTTAATTTAACAAAGTTGGTTTAATCATATTGGGTTGTTTATTTAATTTTGTTCTCAATTATTTTGCTGAGTAGCTAACAGTGGAATACTATCTACGAATTTATAGTTGAACTCGAAAGTGGGAACTTTGGATTGCATATAGAATTAAATAGAGCAAGTTCTTGAACCTGGGCATCGGGGAACAGATTCGCGGTTAGGATAGACATATACCTAATTGCCTTGTTTGGTTGAAATACATGATTTATAAATGCATTCTTGTTAATTTTAATTCCATAGACATATAGGCATTAAGTTAACTTGAATAGGCGAGTAAGAACTCGACAGATTCTTATGAGCAATATTAACCCTGTCAATCAACAACCCAGATAAATCAATTAGTTATTTTAAGCCAAGAACGCAACATGATTGTTAACTAGCCCGTGACCCTAGAATATTATCCCCTACTGCTTGTCATTCGAAATTGCTATTTATTTGGTTGATTATTTTAGTCAGTTTATTAATTGATATTTTAGGTAGTAAATTAAAGACGAATATCCTTTGTGAAAAATCTGTTGAATTGATAAGTTAATTGAGTTTAAATCAGTCAATGGTTAATCACAAGTCTTCGTGGGAACGATACTCTACTCACTACTTTATTACTTGACGATCAAGTGCACTTGCGTGAGTGTTTTGGTCGCAACAAGTTTTTGGCGCCGTCGCCGGGGACTTAGAAATTAGCTACTTGACTGAGTTAGGCTTTTATTAGTTATTTGTTCAAGCTTTAATTTTCAGTTTACCTTGTTTGTGTTAACACAGGCTCTTCTCTTGAATGCGGAGGAGTAGAAGCGCAAACAATCTACTTCCCTTTGATCCTGAGATTGAACGAACACTTTACAGAGTAAGGAGGGAAGTCGATGCAAGAACCAGAATTGAAAGAGAGTTGGACATAGTAGTCCAACCACAGCCAATAGAGATGGAAGGGAATGAAGAACGCACGGTGATTGAAGCCGCAAGGCCCAGTCTTGCTAACATGACTCAGGCTATTGTGAAGCCTAATATCACAGGGCACTTTGAACTCAAACAATACATGGTGCAGCTGATCCAGTCCACAGGGCAATATGTGGGTCTACCTAGTGAAGACCCGTAGAGGCACATTCAGAATTTCTTGAAAATTACGGACACTTACAATTATCCGAATGTTTCCAAGGACTATGTCAGGCTGACACTTTTCCCCTTTTCACTGCTTGGGGACGCTAAGGGGTGGTTGCAGAAGGAGCTCGCAAACTCAATCCGCACTTGGGATGATCTAGCACGGAAATTCTTAATCAAGTTTTTCCCCACTAAGAAAACAAAGATATTGAGGAGTCAAATTCTTGGGTTCAAACAACGAGATGGCGAGACACTTCGTCAAGCATGGTATAGGTACAAAAAGATGCTCAGAGACTGTCCACATCATTGTCAAACTGACGAGGTATTGGGTCACACTTTCGTGGATGGGTTAGATGATGCCTCAAAGATGAATCTTGATTCAACTTGTGGGGGTAGTTGCATGGCCAGACCGTACAGTGAAATCCAAATCTTGCTAAATAACTTCACTGCTAATGATCATAATTGGCAAGGTGAGGGTGATTCACGAAAGGCAATTAAGCAAAAATCAGCTGGATTACTTGAGCTCGATGACTTGTCAGCCATGAGAGCCGATATTGCAAAGTTGGCTAATCAGATGACTAGGATGACGATGCAGCAACCACAAACAATGCAACATGTACAAAAAATGGCTATTTGCTGCGAATTATGTGGTGACAATCATATGAGTGACATGTGCCCTACGAATCCTGAATCCATATACTATGTGGGGCAGCAGAACAGAGGTCCACCGAATCAGCATGCACAATACGGGAATTCTTACAATCCAAATTGGAAGAATCATCCCAACTTCTCATGGGGTGGAAATCAGCCGAATCAGAATCATTATAGACCCCAAGGGAATTTCAATCTACCTCAGAAGCCACCCCAACAAATGGAAGAGAGTACAAATGATTTGCTAAAGAAGTTGTTGCTTGACAATCGACAGCTCAGAACCGATTTCAGAAATCTTGAAAGGCAAATGGGGCAGTTGGCAACGAATCAAAACACCAGGCCTGCAGGCGCTCTCCCTAGTGATACAGAAAAGAATCCTCAAGTGAATGCAGTTACACTCAGAAACGGGAGGGAGCTGGAGGAAGTGCCAAAGAAAAGAAAAGACAAGGCCACACCCGAGGGGGAGTTGATACCTAAGGAAACGCATGAATCAAAGAATACTGATGCAATTCTAGAGCCAGTGGAGGCTACAAGGCCACCACCACCTTTCCCCCAGAGATTGCAGAAAAAGAATGATGATCACATGTTTAGCAAATTTCTCTCCATGTTGAGCCAGGTTCAATTAAATATTCTACTCGTTGATGTACTGCGTGAAATTCCAAAGTATGCTAAGTTCATAAAAGATATAGTGGCTCACAAGAGAAGATTGACTGAATTTGAGACAGTTGCACTTACTGAGGAGTGCACCTCAAGGGTCCAGAACAAGCTTCCTCAAAAGCTTAAGGATCCTGGCAGTTTCACCATTCCTGTGCGCATTGGTAATATTGATGTGGGTCGTGCTCTTTGCGATTTGGGGGCGAGTATAAATCTGATGCCCTTATCTTTGTTCAAGCAATTGGGCCTGGGAGCTCCAAGGCCAACTACTGTGATGTTGCAGCTGGCTGATAGATCAATAGCACACCCCGAGGGAGTGATTGAAGATGTGTTGCTGCAAATTGGAAAATTTATCTTCCCAGCTGACTTCATTATCCTGGATTATGAGGCTGACGAACTGGTCCCAATCATATTGGGGCGACCTCTCTTGGCTACTGGTGATGCAATTATTTAAGTGAGAGAGGGAAAAATGATTTTGAGGGTGGATGGTGAGGAAGCAGTCTTTAATGTCTATAAAGCAATCCAACTTCCCCGCCACTATGAGGAGCTCTCAATGATATCCGTTGTTGAGGCGGATGAGCAAATTCTTGACACGAGTGTATATCTAGACGATTCTCTAGAGAAAGCACTTATTTTGTTCAATAGCATGGGAAACGATGAGGAGGTTGAGGAGATGATGCACATCCTGGATACATCCTGTGCTTACATGCAGGGGATACACCCCTTTGAGCCCTTGAATAGGCCAGATGGGCCGCCCCCAAAACCGTCAATTGAGGAGGCTCCAAAATTGGAGCT